TGTTGTCTAGGAAGTCGTCTCCGGGTGCAGATCCAGGAATGTCGCGAAAAGTGAGGGACTTTCCATGCATTACATTCCCATAGGTTGCTTTATTTGGCACGACGATTTACAAAATACAGGTGCACCTCAATTCCAATATCTTTGGGGGGGGGGGGATGACCAAGCCCCGTGCTCAGAATGCTGAGCCGCGCGTTCCGCGTGGGTAAATGTCGCCCGGCGTGGGCCAAAGTTGACAAAGTGTTCGTCTATAGTAGGTCAAAGGATACACGCTTCTTTTGTTTGAAAACCTGTTCACATTTGGGAGTCCTGTTTGGAGGTCTCAGCGACCTGTATCGTTGCCTGAATATGGGGGTCGCGGTCAATCGTAGCAAGGAGAGGACACCGGTTTGACGAAGAGCCTTTGCTGCTGAAAGCCCCTCCCCAAAGACTTTATTTCAAGGCGGCCCAATTTTCTTCGTTTTTTTCTTTCGTCTTCGGTTTTTGCATTGTCTTTGGTTTTTTAAGTGCATTTCTTGTTGTCGTTTATTGACAGAGAAGCTAGAAGGCACTAGAAGATGTGGTTCTGCTTGCAGGGTGACTGAGGTGAGTAACGTCATGTCCAAGTAATATCAGGGTAATTTATGCCAAATCTATGCGACGGATGACAGTCTGGAGTCTCTCAGCACAGCAACTCACTCTTCCTTTAAGCGCACTTCCGACAGCATACGTGCACACATCTTGGGGTAAATGCGAAAGATTTGCCTTTTCCACATCGTTGAAAACAACAGCGATCGATGTGATTGTGTGCTTGACGGCTTACGGCATAACTAAGCCAATCTCAATACTATTTTGGCACTTGGTAGCCAAGGATTTCAGGGAGGCACAAACTTCTTTCCAAGATGGTGGATGGTACATGTTGTATCATCTGTACATGGGGCATGTTCCATCCTTGATACGATGTGCCGACACTATGTTAAGAGCTGACTCACTTCCAATCACTGATTTACATAATTTCATGACTTATTACTATCTAGATAACAAGTCGGCGTTGACATCACCTATGTTGATCCATAATTCCCACCTCAGGTACCGAAACCGAGGGGGAAGCAGTCTTAAGATTGATAGAAAGGGCAAACAATGCTATGTTGTACCGGTGACGAATTACAAAATGGCGTCAGACGTGCGCATTTGGTCTACACGTTGTAGCGCATTCAGCTTGTGATGCAACTTGCTCTGTAAAAAACACATTAGCACACCTTCCACCACTATATGATACAATTTACTCCTGGTTGAGTACATTGTCTCATTTGACAGAGTGCCAATCAGAAGTCATTTACCAAAAAAAGCTAAGGCATGCTACTTAAAACTTAACATCTGCATATGAAGCTGAAGGTCATAGCTGGCTACAGATATCAGTCTCAGTCCCATCCTCAGTAGTTTTTGCAGGAGCAAGTTCAGAGTAAAAACTGATACAAGAGTCAATAAAATGGAGAACCCTGATATGAGAATGCATCGCATAAACCATTATGGGCACGGCAGTAGCAAGTCAAGGGCGTTGCCAGGATTTGTCGGAGTTCTACAGGCATTACAATGCGAGCTTGTGGATGCAGCATCAACCCAGACTGAAAGGGGTAAAAAACAACAACGCCAACCCATGTTCGCCTTGGAAGCATGGGATGACATTTTTTTGAAAAGATAAGTGGAAAAGGAGCAGATGAGTTTTGGGCATGGTGCTTGCAGTTATTAGTTACAAAAACGACGACGTCTGGCGCTGGTCTTCCTTTAGGAAGAATGCAGTGCCGGGCGTTGGCTTCGCAGCTAACACCAGGCGGCGGCCAGCGCGCGGACGAAAACCCAGAAAAGGGGCTTTCGAACGCTTTACGAAATCAGTTGGTAGGGGCAGAACGTAGATTTCACCGATGGGGGGAGGGTAGATTTTACCGATGTCAGTTTCAGACTGGTTCTCGAAGCGAATCTGCATTCGCAGTACCATGCGAACGCTTTATATAATGGCGGAATCTCTATTGTACGTGTTGGTATGGCTGCTGATCCATGGGCATCAACCTCAAAATGACATCGGTGAAATAAACACCCCTTTTAAAAGGCACAGTTTGATCTTAGAGGAAATCGAAACGCTGTTTTCCGACGTGCGGTCGTTCTCACACAGCCACCGCCCGCCGTCCGGTGCTGCCTGTGGCGGCCGACTGCAACGCTGGACATCGGTGTTTTTGTTTCGAAATATTACGAGCGCACATGCTCAACACTGCTTTATATCATTTTGCACGTCTTGATTTGGAAAAATAATGTACGTTCTCAGCGAAACACTTTTGCCAATGTCACTACAAAGTTATGGCCCAATTTCGATTTACCGCATCGAACATTAAAGGACACTTCATGCACCGTTCCCCTCCCTTATGCAGCAGGCCCTTAAATGGGGCAGTTAGCCACAGCTTGACGCAGGGCCCCGAACTGACGCCAAATGATCCCCTTACGATGCACAGGGTCTAGCAGCTGGCACAGGGATTCTCAGTTCGCCCCATCGGTCCCTGGCTGAAGCGGGCTGGAGGGGTCTCAGTTCAGTACTAGGGCGCCTGACCGCCTCAGGACCTCTCATTGTTACATTGAGGGCCCTCCCATTGTCATCTAGCTCATCTAATTGCACTGTCGGAGGCAAGACCAGGAATACCCTGGTATTCGGGGTCCTGTCCCTGTCTCTGTTTGACAAATGCGTCCCTCACCGACTTGGGCCCTTTGCCGACACATAATCACCTGTTATGCACTGTGAGACCCTGTCCTACACGGAGAGTCCCTTATTGCTTCAGGGGCTGACCAATGAATGGAAGAGGCCCTCAGTGGCAATTCCGGGCCCAGCCCCCTTTCTGCTTGCGAGACGGGCTCCAGAAGCCAGACCGACACGGAACCGTCTGTCCGGTATTGGTGATCTCTGGCGGACATAGAGGCCCTCAACGTCCGACAGGGCCGCGATCGGCACCAAAGGCCCCCTGACTGACATTTGGGTATCCGGCCCTACGGGCTGGCAGTCCATTTATACGACCTCTGGGCTCTTCGGGGTATCCAGGTGAGTCAGTGATCGGTCCCAAGACGTCCCTCGGGACCCAACGAGGGCACGTGCTCCCTATGCTCCCCTGCCCGCGCCCCTGCTTGAGTATCGGTTTTGGATAATATGGTCACCCGCAGCAGCGGACTGAAAGGGAACCATGCTGGCCATGCCAGCCTGGAGGCTATGCAGGCCTCTGATGGAGGCTGCAGGGCTCTCTTAGTGCCTGTGAGAGTTCCATGGGATCGAAGGCCCGGCATTTCCTCTCTTGGTAATGCAAGGTGCCTCAAAAACACAAATTAGCGGGGCAGCGGTCTGGGTAAAAAAAATCGGCCACCAGGACGCCGGAACGGGTCTCTTGAGCCGTAGGAGAGACCGAAACCTTGAAGTGCGGCCTTTTGAGCCCCGACATGGGTTCTGCTGGCAATCAGGGCCTCTTGATCCGATCTGCCTCCTTTCCGCACAGCATCCTCAGTATGTCAGTGGGCGCCGCACGGGTGCGCTGCAGCGCCAAAAAGAGCCCGGTAGGACCCTCAGAGCTAGACAGTGTCACCTCCAAGGACGGTGGCAGGACGTGCTTAGGTACGGATCAGCGGCCCCAGCGCATCCTCAGGTACGGACCAGGGGCCCCAGCGCATCCTCAGGTACGGATCAGGGGCCCAAGTGCATCCTTAGGTACG